CCTATTAAGCAGCCCACACTTTTTAAGGGGCAGAATGTATCGAATTGTCCATAGAAATGGCCACTGCAGGGATTCCATATCAAATAACGGCTCTGCTCTTGAGTGAGCACATAGGCAGTTGGACCCTGAGGGAAAACACTCATTGAAACCACTTTCAGCCGGATTGAGTGACACAGGACTTCAGGACCCGCGCTAGACCTTTCCTGTTGCATTGTTTTCACCTTGGAGACTCATCCCCTTGTTGTGTTGACCAAGTAAAAATAGGGGTCATGTTAGCCATCAACCTTATTTCAAACAGCCTGTTGTTTTCAGGTACAGGGAGCAACGGCGCTTTCTTTTGAGAGACAGCAGATTGCTATTTAAAGATTTCAATAGCCACCCACTGTCCTCCAGTAGATTCCCATTGATAGCAACCCAAGATAGGGTGTCCCAGAGTGTAAAACTTTACAGAAGAAGGAATCCTCATTTTTTTCCCCAAGGAATGGCTGGGGTGTGAACCCCAGATCTTGTGGTTAGCAGCTCAATGCTTACTCTACAGGGCTACCACTGCTTCCATGATTCCAAGCCGATAATTTACAGTTGATGTACTTTTTATAACACTGCAGATGCCCAGAGGAAGGTTTGGAAGGGCACACACCGAACAGTTCACAGTGACGACACCTGAGAAGGGGAGGCTGGGGCCTACGAGGGCAATGCTTCTGTCTTGATGGGTTCACACGTTGTGTAGGGTCCTGAGCAATTCATTTACAAGGAGCAAGTCATGCCTGCCCACATATAATTTTGTCTGAGGTGCACAACGGCTTTCTTCGGAAGGCAGGACCGGCATGTTTATCCTAGCTTCCTTTAGAAAGCTCAGGGCTGTGAAGTGACTTGTTCAGGATCACACAGCTAACGAGGAATGAGGTGCACTGCCTTAAACTCTTCCTAGCTCAGAGTTCTCCTCCTGCATCGGGATACCTGGGATACATGATGGCGAAAGAGTCAGCATGTGGCCATGATATTCCTTCATTAACTAATTGTCCAAACTCACTGCCTTAGAGTTGACTGGGGCTCATAACTACCCTATAGATCAGGGCAGACTCGGCCCTGTGGACTTCTGAGACTGTAACACTTTATGGGAGTAGAAACCCTCCTCTGTCTCCCTTGGAGCCACTGGTGGTTTCAAACTGGTGACCTTGAGGTTAGCAGCCCAACACATAACCACTATGCCACCAGGGCTTGTTGTCCAATACCCAAGGATGTCTCGAGCTTTGTGGTCATTTTTCTTTTTGATAATTTTTCAAAACACTCTTTGGGTGAGCTGACGCCATCCCCGTGACTTTTCTAGCCTTCTTTTACCCAATATGTGCAACATCTCTGGATATTGGAGCTCAGCGAACGAGCTTCGCCACTGTCTCCAAGTCAATATCAACAACTTGGGAACAGCAAAACACAGCCGCTAATATGCTTTTGTTTCCTCCTGTAGTTATATGTCTTGGTCTGCGCCTGGTAGATGGATGGCAGATGTCTCTAGAAACAGTTAGGCGTGAACTTGGAGCTCTGGCATTTTCAGACTTCTTTTGACCACCCTCCACTCTTCAGCCGAGGAGCCCTGGTTGCTCAGTGGTGAGTCATTGGGCTGCTGACCTCAAAGTTAGCCTTTTGAAACCATCGGCTGCTCCACAGGAGAACGATGAGGCTTCCTACTCCCGTAAAGCGTTGTCCCAGACGGCGTTCAGCCAGAATGCTCCTTAGAGGCAAGGATGGCGAGGCTTTATCTGACACATACAAGCATCCGAATCCCAGGGCTGAGTTCTGTCACCAGCCGTCTCATGTCCCCTTACGGGCCGGCCTCTCTGCCTATGAGAGCAGGTTTAGGACATGTGGCTAGCAGCTCAAAGGTTCACCGTGAAAGGAATGTAACCGGACCAATTTGGAACGCGCCCCTCCTCTGGATGCCACCCTAAGTGGACTCACCTCGGGAATAGCACTGCCCACGATGAGCCAGGCCTTCTTGCCCAGGGACAAGAAATAGTTACACAGCAGTACCGCGTGCTCCTCTTCATCGCCTGCCAGGAGGTCGAGAAATTGCTAACCGAGAAAAAGGAGTCATGTTAGAATGGCTGATGGCGCTCATCTAAATGGGCTGTGCAGAAGTTTAACGAGCCATGTCGAGAACGAGCACCCCAGAGAGCGAAAGGGCGAGGCCTCCTCTTCAGATCTTTCCTCAAACGTTGATGCCACCTGGACAGCTCAGCACAAGGAGACAACCGAACCACCTGCACTGGTGGACATCGGGCTGCAAGTAGGGTGGGGTTGTGGGGGCCGGGCAATGCCCAACGTTTTACCTTTCTTTAATGCACATGTCTGAATGGCAGCTCACGATGTGATAAGTGTGCTTTGTGTTAAACATGTCTCTAGCGCACATATGCATGAACTCACGGCATCCTAGAGCAACCCTTGCGGGAGGGACTCTTGTTTTCCCACTTTAGAGAGGCTGACGTGGCGACGCAGGTAGGGGAAGTCGTACTTGGCCCACGGTTATCTAATCACTTCTCACCGACCGCAACCCTATAAGATAGAGTAGGGGCCCTGGTAGGGACGTGCGTCACACATTGGGCTGCTAGGGTGTTAGGCCTGAGAAATCATCCAGACCAGCTAACAGCACACACCTCACCCAAGAGAAGTGGTTCCGGCCACCACGTGGAATGTTTGATCAGTATGGCCAGAGAACAGGGTGATATTTATCCAAATGGCCCTTGGTAGAAAAATGCTCACACCCTCGATTTAGAGCAGTGGTTCTCAAGCTGTAGATCGCGACCCCTTTGGGGGTCGAACAACTCTTTCGCAGGGGTCACCTAAGAGCATCGGAAAACACATGTCCGATGGTCTTAGGAATGGAGACACCGCTCCTCTATCCTCTCCAAGCGGGTCCGCCCACATACAAGTACTGGGCATGAAGATTGTTACCCATGCTACACCATGCTTCAAGAGAAATGTTCATTTATTTGTAATTAGAAATAAACATTTCACACTACATAATGACATATTGTTTATGTGATTCATTACTATACTTTAATTATGTTCAATTTTTAATAATGAAAACACATCCTGCCTATCAGATATTTACATGACGATTCATGACAGGAGCAAAATGACAGTTATGGAAATAATTTTATGGTTGAGGGTCACCACCCCCTGAGGAACTGTATGAAAGGGTCACGGCATTAAGAAGGTTGCAAACTACTGGTCTAGAGGGTTTTGGAGACTGTGAACACCTATGGGAGCAGACATTTCTCCATCTTTCTCCAGTGGAGTGGCTGATGGGCTTGAACCTGGAACCTTATGATTAGCAGCCCAACGCCTAACTCACAGCGCTATACGGTTTCCACTCCAAAAGACACCAGGGAACAAATGATCTGAAGTGTACTTAAAGAGCTTGGGCTCAGCACCTGCTTGCCAGGGAGTGAGTAAAAGTCTATTAGGCTTTCTGCAAGCCGAGTGCCCCAGGCAGCAGAGACTCCCTGCTGACCAAGGTGAGCTTCACACTGCCCATGCTCAGGCTGCACGCTGGGACAGGAAGTCCCAGGAGGAGAGAGACCTATATATTTGGTACTTCTGCTTAGGACCTTGCCGTGTATCTAGTGTGAATGACCTTGATGACTAAGAAATGTAGCAAAACTTGCCAGCCTCCATTTAGCCCTTTTGACCGGTGTAGTCTTTCCATTTTTAAGACTCGAGCCTTTCTGTGCATTGTGAAGGAATAAATGGTGTCCTTTAAGGAGCACAAAAATGGAGGGCTAGACAATCTCCTTTCAAGCCCTGGTGACATAATGGTTCCGTGCCAGGCTGCTAACCCCAAAGTTAGTAGTTCACATCTACCAGCCTTTCTGAGGCAGAAAAATGAGGCGTTCTAATCCTGTGGAATTACAGTCTTGGAAACCTATCGGGATTTCCTTTCCTATAGAGTTGTTTAGAGTCAGAACTGACTTGATGACAACGAGTGAGTTTAGACACTCTCCAAATATAATAAAGTTGTAATTTAATTTTTTTAACAAGGAAACCTACCTGCATCATGTGGCTAGCGATATTAAAAAAGCAAATCCTTTTATGAGTAAAACTGAGCTATTGTTAAAAGAGCTTTGTGGATGCTATTGGGGAAACAGTGGGCTGCTAACTGCAAAGTCAGAGGTTCAAACCCAGCAGTTGCTCCTGGGGAGAAAGATGAGGCTGCCTGCTCCTGCACAGTGTCAGAAATCTTATGTAGAGATAGGGTGGCTCTAAACTGGAACTAGCTCCTTGGCAGTGTTATTGGTTGGGGATTTTTATTGCTAAGGCAACACTGAGAGGATAAATCAGCAATGAGACATCTTGCGTGTTATTTTTCATTCTTCTTTTTTTACTGTGAATAATGAAAAGAACACATCAAAGGTCTGGATGCTGGGAGAACCCAACCCCAACCCCAAATCCAGCCTTGGAGTCAAGTCCAACTCCAAGCGCCCTGGAGGACAGAGCGGGAGAGCCGCATCTTTTCCCCCCGGGGCAGCCATTGGTTGGGTTCAAATCATTGACCCCAATGATTTGGTTAGCAGTCAGGTGCTTAACCACGGTGCCCCACCCCAGGGCTCCCTAGGGAGAATTAAGCCAGGAAGGCGCGTGCGTGTGTGTGTGTGAATCCCTCAGTATTGAGTCCATCCTTTGACACAGATGGCTATAGAGATCTTCGGGATGACAAATGAGTATTGCGTAAGCCATGCAGGGCAGAGAGAGCAGAGTCGTCGCCGCAGCTAATCCACGCGAGAGGACGGGCAGAGAGCCACTTACATCAGAGGTGCTCCAGAGGTCACAGACCCCGGCAAAGGAGACCGTGTCCGGCAAGAACGGAATCAGGGACACATAGTGAGCCACCAGCTCCTGGAAAAACAACCCAAAAAAGCATCTTGATTTCTGGTAACAAAATACACTATAGCCACCACACACATCCACCTGTAGGAAATGAAACTGAAAGCTACCACCAAGGGTTAGGCTAACTGTAATTTACTGCACCCTCGCCAAACAATCCTATGAGGGAGATCATGGTGACCCATTTCAGCCTTTCTCTTTTTGGGGGGCAGCTTTAAAACCTTTATTAGCTCATCAGCCACTAGTTTTCGTCGGTTTTTGAAAGTGGTGACAGGCACGTAAGTCACCAACGTGTAGAGTTTGTTTGGGGAATCTTCATCCTCATGACGTTTCCTGGACAACCGCACACGGATACGGTCTGGGACATTCCTGATTGCTTTGGCCCAGACAGCTTTGTTGAGCCTGGTGATGATTCGGACATCTGGTGTGCCCATCTGCTTCATGGCAAACTCCCGCATCTCCTTGCACGCCCGAGGGGCACGCTTCTTGAAGCCCACGCCATGGATGCGCTTGTGAATGCGGACGGTGCCCTCTCCGGTCATGACCTCGTTGATAGAACCGCCCTGCTTCTTCTCACCGCCCTTCTTTGCCGGAGCCATAGTGCCAGGACCCAGCTGGAAAGGAAGCATTTCTTTTCTTTTTTTTAATGATTATATTTTTTATTTTATTGCTACATTAGCAATGACAATAAATTGTGAGAAGCAGGAAGAGCATGCAGTGTCATGGAGATCTTTGCGTAATGGGGTACCCCCTGGAGGTTGAAACTGGTTTATCCTATAGGGAAGGCAGGAACCACACACGCAAAGATCTTACGTGCTGGATCACTGATAGCATGGGCCACGTGAGATGTATACAGCAATGGGAAGTTTTCAAACAAAGATGATGGACCATTGGCTACCTCTGCCCTCAGCCAGAGAATATGGAGAAGACATCAGAAAATTTCCAAAATCTCTACAAACACACAGGTTTACAAAATGAAGCCTATCAAATTCAGACAACGCTCAAGCAATGTTGAAATTTGCTTCCGGGAGGACACCCCCATGTTATGCTGTTCGCACATATCCTTTCGCCTGTTGGACAGTTTCCTTCGAGGGGAGAGCATTGTTTTCTTCTGTATTCGTTTTCTTCAGTTCTGACTTGTCACGTTTCTCCACTGCGGACAAATCTGGCTTATCACTCGTCATGCCTGAAGGTTTGAAGATCCGCTAAAGGATAACCCCTGGGTTGACACAGGCTCACACTCAGGGCAAGATTAGTGTTCATGACCCATTTCTTACGGAGGAAAACCTAAAGCAGGTGGCTGCATAATCATTCTACGGACAGAATGGCCCTGATCGTGGACTGCCAAAAGAACAAAGAAACCTCTCTTGGCAGAAGGACAGCCGGAATGCTCCGTAGAGACAAGGATGGTGAGACATCATGTCACGCATTTCAGATATCTTGTCAGGAGACGTCCGTGCCTGGAGAAGGACATCGTGCTTGGTAAAGCAGAGGGGAGCAGACTAGAGGAAGGCCCTCCACCAGATGGATGGACACCGTGGCTGCAGCCATGGGCCCAGCACAGGAACCACTGTGAGGATGGCGCAGGACTGGGCATTGTTTCTTTCTCCTGTGCGTAGGGTGGCTATGGGGCAGAACCTACTCAGTAGCACCTGAAACAACAACAACAACAACAACAAAGATAGAGACCCCCGAGGAGATGGCTGGATACACAGGGGCTGCAACAAAGGGCTCCAAACCGAGCAATGATTGTGAGGATGGCAGTGCTTTTGCTCGGCTGCGCACAGGGTTGATATGAGCCGGAACCACGGGAGAGCACCCACCAACCACCAAGGTAGAGCGAGCCTATGGGAGGGCCAAGGGCACACCTGCAGAGAAACTGGCTCTGGAGTCCAGGCATCCAAACAGCCACTCTCTCTCAAGTTCATCTGAATATTTAAAGGTGAGCAAAAGCTTTCGTCATAAGAAGTCCAGCACAATATCTAGAAGTGAACAATGACTACATAAACGCATCTGGATGGCAATAATGAGACAAAACACCCAAATATCTGTAATAGAGTCACATGGCAAATTGCAAACAGGTAAAATATCCGTGCAAACTCCTTTCTTCATCGTGTCAGGTGTGGATACCAAGTTTATGTTATCTTAGGAGCTTTTGTGGTTTTCTCTCTTCCCGGCCATCCTCGGTGAAGACTGATCTAATCTCCTCTGTAAGTGTTGAGAAGACATTGTCTGTAGACCGAGGGTTTTGTTTGTGGGAAAGCACTTAAGTGTCAGCTTCCGTTTGCTCAGCAGATGGACTGCCTGAGGACAGTGAAAGGGCATCACACCATTCCTGATTTTGAGCCAGTTACTAACCCCTGGATCTGTCTGGAAAGCGGTGTCTTGGTCTATGAACAGGCTCTGTCCAATGCCATGTGTAGTTGGTTAGGGCCCACCCAGTTGAAAGCCTTTACACAGCCAAGGACACACAGAGGACATTTCTCTGAGGTCTCTGCTTTCAGCCTAGGTCCATCCAACATCCACAATGACACCTCTTATTCCACATGCTCTTTGCAATCTAGCCTTTCCCCCTCGGTGTTTCTCTGTTTATGGGTTCTCCCCATTTGGTTAGTAATTTGTAGGTAGATCGGTAGATCGACAGATACGTGACTGCCTTTGAGTTGATGCCAACTTATGTACATCAGAATGAGATGTGCCCAGGCCCATACCACCCTCACGATAGCTGGCACGTTCAAGTCCGTTGTGCCACCAGTGTGTCGATTCATATCACGAAGGGTCTTCCTCACCCTCGCTGACCCTCTGCTTCATCCAGAGGTTCCCGGTCAGAGGAAGCGGGTCAGACAATCTCTGTTTTTTGGGGTGTGTGATACAAATTCTGATTTCTACAATTTTGGGGTGTGTGGGATGAAAATATCCCTAACAAAACATCTACCATCACAGTAATTTCCACAGAGACAATCCGGTCACGGTGGTCATGTTCTTCAAGGTCCGCGACCACCTGACAATCCTTTCCCTCATCATTTCACCGGCCGTTAACAGGAACCCAACGCTCCCCAGGCAAAACCTTTCTCTTGCCCCCTCCCACTCACCCTTGCCAACCAGTAAGAATAACCGTCGGCTCTTAGCCATTTCCTATGCTATTTAAGTGAAATCATACAATGTTTGTCCTTTTGTGACTTGTTTTACACAGCATGTTTTCAAGCTTCACCTGTGGTAAGGCAGGCATCCCGACTGCATTTCCATCACGGTCTAGCCCATGTTCTATTTCCCCCTCCACCAACTGATGGGTATTTTGGTTGTTTGCATTTGGGGGCTACTGTACAACGGGTCACAGAGAACGCCGGCCTACAGGCTTCTACATGCATTCGGGCCGCCACTCCCCCTGCCTATAGACCTGGGTGTGGGCAGGCTGACCGTGGGGTAGCTCTGTGTCTAACATTTCAAGGATTGTCATGCTGTTTTCCACCACGGCTGTATCATTTTACATTCCCATGGACCTAGGTCCAAGTTTCTTTCTTTTTTATTAATTCAAAGATCATTTTATTGGGGGCTCTGACAGCTCTTATAACAATCCATACATCAGTTGAATCAAGCATATTTTTACATATGTGGGCATCATCATTTCTAACTGGAACTGATACCAAGGGCTCAAATAGAAAGGTCCAAGTTTCGCGACCATTTCACCAACACCTGCTGTTTTCTGCATTGTATTTTCTGTCATTAGTGGTATCTCACTGTAGTTTTGAGGCAGTTAGCCCTTTACTTACTGATGATTCAGGTCATTCATGTTTTAAGTCACACGGACTATTTCAATGCAGATGAAAAGATGTTGACATTTAAAAACATTTCTGAGCAGGTAGCTGGACAGCTCGGCTGGGGAAGACTTACCGCAGTTGCCTGGGGACTGTTGGGGTAGATGTCGAGGATTTCTGCAGGTGGGTTTAAAGGCTTGAGGTAACGTGTGATGAAGACAGTTTTTCCACTTATGTCAATGACTGTCGTAAGGCATTGCCGGTTTGGAAACTTTAAGGCACATTCAGCTTGAAACTTCTCTGTTGCTTGGAGCAATTTCTCATCTTCCTGAGAATCAAACTTCAAAAAAAGAAAGACACGACGGAATTCATGCACGGTTACAGGGCACACAAGCGAACAAGTTCTTATTTCACACAAATGCAAGGTGGAGTATAGAAAGGATGAATAAAAAGACCCTTACACAACCATCATTTCCTCATGACTTCACAGCTATGTAATGCGAGTTATAATTTAACAATCAGGCGGAGGCCTTAAATACTTGATCTATAGCCAAGATGTTTCCAGGAAATGTTCAATCAGCAAGCAGCAGTGCAGAAACTACCAGAGTAACCAAAAAGCATATAGAATATAAGAAGAACCGCTACAAATTAAACTATGATGGATGAGACCAATCAATAAAGCATCTTGTCTATTTTCATGCTGGTGTTATGGGGACTCAGAAATATGACATTTCAACCGTGAAAATTTAAGGAACTCATAGTAAATGAAAGGTGGATATAGAGATAGGCATGGGTGTGTACGGAGTCTCAAACCTATCGGCAATGTAATGAGTAAGAGATCAAAGGAAAGAGGTTCAGTGTGTAAGAATGAGTCCAAGTCATTCTCTGATCCAAGATGAGGTAGAAATTTTCCTTTTTTTTTTTTTTAACTGTAACTCAAAATTTGTGAAACAGAATACATTTCAGTTGCCTTTAGCACCTGTTGCGGAAGGAGTCCTGACAGTGTCATGGGCTGTTCATTGGGCTGCTCATCTAAAGGTGGTCATCAGTTCAAAACCACCAGCCACTCTGTGGGAGAAAGATGAGGCTGACTCCTGTAAAGACTCATGGTCTCTGAAACCCACAGGAGCAGTTCTACTCTGGCCTGTTGGGTCACAAAGGGTCCCCAGCGACTCGGTGGCAGTGAGTTTTTAACTTGGCGCAGGATCTCGGCATTTTCCTGGCCTCCCCCTCAAATCAATGCTAGAAATTAGTAATGATGATAGGACCAGCGTAGACATTTTCATATACTGACAAGGGCTGCATGTTTACACTAGATGCTTCTGGCTTTGCCTAGACACGCATGCACGTTGGCTTGCACTTCAGATTTTCAAGAGAAGCTCAACATGTTCTGAGACGTCATTGTTATAGGCTGTGCTTGGAAAACACAATTATCTGAAGAGGAAAATTCACACAGCTGAGCACCTCTACAGTCAGCCACGTTCTTTACTTTAGCACTTAAGGCTGACACACGAGGGGGTACCCCACCAAACTGGAACCCCCCACCCAAACGATTTACCTAGAATTTTAGTTGATTCTTTCCTTCTTTTTTTTTTTTTTTTTAATCTTGAAAAAGTTTCTATTTAGCATTAGCCAGCTGGGCTCACTTTAGATGATTCCAATTCTGTTGGCAACATCTAACACTCATAGTCAGGAGCCAGTCGAACATAAGCCTTCTTCTCCCCGTCAGGCCCGATCAAGGTGTTGACCTTGGCGACGTCCATGTCATAGAGCGTTTTCACAGCCTGCTCGATCTGGTGTTTGTTGGCTTTGACATCCACAGTGAACACAAGCGTGTTGTTATCTTCGATCTTCTTCACGGCAGACTCTGTGGTCCAGGGGAACGTGATGATGGCATAGTGGTCCAGCTTGTTTCTCCGGGGGGCACTTTTCCAGGGCATCTGGGCTGCTTTCTCAGTCTCAGGGTCTTGGGCCGCCGGAAGGTGGGTGACGTGCAGATCTTCTTTTTGTGTGTGGCTGTGGACCCCTTTCAGCACGGCCTTCTTGGCTTTGAAAGCCTTTGCTTTGGCTTCCGTTTTGGGAGGGGCGGGAGCTTCCTTCTTTGCCTTCGGCGCCATCTTCGTGAAAAGAGTCCAGTTGATTTTTTTTTAAATTTTATTTTATTGGCGGCTCTTACAACTTTTATCACATTCCATATAAACATCCATTGGGTTTTTTTCTGAAATTGTATGAACAGCCTTTATAAAATGGCACCGTTTATAACACAGTCTGGCAACCAGCACCACTATCCATTCCAGAAACGTTCATCACCCCAAAGAGAAACTCAGGACCTTTGGAGCAACTGCTCCACCTGGGCAGCCCTGCTAACCACTAGCCAGCACGTGTCTTGATGCTGTGGTCCCCTAGAACTAGGAGCACTCAATATTTGT